AAAGAAAACGTAATCAAAGAAAGTGCTCAAGCACCATAATTACCCAGGCATATTTTACAAAATGTGATAATGTTCAATCTTTTCAGTATTTGGGTAATAACACAACTTCTTTCAAGAATTTTCAGTCTTAGGAGTCAGTTTTATTAAAAGGTAATGCAGTTTCTCTTCTCCTCTGCAACATCTGAGAGACACAGACCGACCAGAAAAGCAGCGAGGAGAGCTGTAGTTAACACACAACTGCATCCTGTATCAACAACCCAAACTGCAGTTGGTTTAGAAAAGCAACTTCCAGCACTCTCAGCACCAAGTGATATATGAGTTTCTGCACAGTTTAGTGTGGTAGGCTGCTGCCACCTTTTGGTTACAGACCATTGTGAAATTAGATTTGATCCTAAAACACACACACACAGTGGAAATGTACTGTTAACAGATGGGATCTGAGCACCCGGGAGAACACTGGGGTGGGATAGGAACATCATTTGTATTTTCTGCAAACTGCACAGTGTGTGGCTGCATGTCTGGGTATTTACTTGATATTTACTGTCTTCCAGCTTAAAATATCTTTGAATCCTCTGCTGCTGAAATCAGCTCCCACTGGAATGCATGCAATAGTTACTAAATTATGAAATACCTTCTACAATTAAAATTGACAAATATTTTAGAAGAAGTAAAATAAAAAAGGGGTCCAAGGAGAGAAATACATCAGTAACTACTTTGAGCAGTTTGTACAGCTTGCAGTAATTACCCAAATAAAGCATCAGCCAAGGTAAGCTTTTATTCGCACTTTTCCTCCACATCAATTCACTTCTGAGCAAAAAGAAATGAAGTTTAGTTTAAGACAGAGGCCACCTCTTATCCACAAACCAGCTCTCTGAAATTTTTACAACATACATGCAACATTTATCTGCACCTGCCCATTTTAAAAGCTATTTGTTACTAGTCAATGAGACATAAAACACACAAAACTACCACCACTATGGATTTGACCTATAGAACCTTTGTTACACCTCCAGCAGCAAATCATACAGCTCTGCCCATGAGCAAAGTCTTTCCACACTTTGAGCTCAGACTGTAACAAATCTTCAGTCTTCAAATCAATGGCAAACTCCCAACAACTGTAGAGGGGACAGTTACAAAAAAACAGGTGAGCACAGGATTATTAAGAAACCTTCAGATCTATGATCCTCCTTTCTCAAAGCCACATAACCCCATCAAATGTTACTTGACTGAGGCACAGCACAATGAAAAGGCAGCAACACCACATGAGGGCTCCAAGGGCAGAGGAAAATTTTTGGTAAGTAATTACACATGAACTTGCTCACTGTCAGCAGAATGTCTCATGACATCCTTTTCTGCTTTCCTACCTCCTCACTTGTTTAAAAAGAAAGAATCCAGCTGCAGGCAACTGCTAATTAAATACTTGGGCTTTCAGCTACAGTTGCTGTATGCACACATCTGCCCTGCAATAAACAGTTTTAAGTGTAATTGACTTATTTTCCATGCTCTAGGAGAGAATATTTATGACATGAAGAAAGAAAAAGCAAGCAGGGTCCAAGCCCCTGCCTCATATTCACAAGTAAGTAAAAGCTGCAAAGTATTTAAAATTAGAACTGTTTAAAATGCTTTTATTGCTTAGGGGCAGTCTCGAATCTCACATTCCAAGGCTTTGCTCCCAAAACAATACATTTACTAATTTTTTGGCCTTGAAATTATGTAAATCCAAACATCTGTTTCAGTGCCTAGACACATTTAAGTGGCTCATGTTGACCATTTTGGCTTAAATACATCACGAGCAACATCCTGTTCCGATCCCCCCGATTTCACAACCTGGGTTTCAGACAACAGATTTGAACAGAGGAAGACAAGTCAGATATCCGTAACCATGTCCTCCTAAAGTCAACGAGGCATTGGTCAGACTCTGCATGTCTGTGCAAATCCCACTGAGCCACACGAGTGCAGACACGACATTTCATGGATGAAACGAGCCAAAAAACATGACTGAGCAATGATACAGAGAAAAAGGAGATCTCAGAGGCTGGATGGGGCATTCCATTTCCAGCACTATGTCCTAGTTTCAGCTGGGATGGTGTTCATTTTCTTCCTAGTAGCTGGTACAGTGCTGTTTTGGATTTAGCATGACAAATGTGATGGTATCACACTGATCTTTTACTTTTTGCTGAGCAGAGCTTATACTCAGTCAAGGGCCTGTCAGCTTCTCATGCTGCCCTGCCAGGGAGTGGGCTGGGGGTGCCCATGGCAGAACCAGGGCAGCTGACCCAACTGACCAAAGGGATATTCTTTTATCACTTCACAAGGTCTCCAAGTTTATCTTTTTCTCCAAGTCCCACCCTTTGAGACAGTCAGTAGTCCTTGATTGAGAAGGGCTACTGACTGCCTCAAATCATAGGCAGTTCTTCACAGTAAATCTGTGTGGGGATCTCTCATCCTCCACTGAGGCTACAAACACAGGCAAAGCACCAAGACGAAAGGATATTAAAAGCTGACAATTCTTTTGAACAGCATCCAACAGACAGGACTCAAATCTCCTGTACACAAGCCAAACCAAGGGGATGTTATCAGCAATTATCTCTCATTTGAGAAGAAATAAACAGATTTATCATATTACTTAGTATTTGTTGCTTTACTACCAAGGAGGATTTACAAAAGTTCAAAGGGCCAGTTTCAGAATTAGGAAAAACAAATAATGTAGCATCAATCACAGCACATTAATCTTCACAAACAACTGCAGGACTTGAATTCATCCACAACTGGCTGACAACCAACAGCCCACTTTTTGTATGTAATCAACACAATTTTATTCTCTTTTAAGAACTACATTGCCTCACTCCACTGTAAAGCTACATTACGACATCAGCCATGTCCTGATTTTAACTCTTCTCTAGTTAAGAGGTAAGTGCATGAGTGTATGTGGGAGAGAAGGGGAAATGAGCCCTAGATCTCTAAATCACAGTTCCTGCCAGCCTAGAGCCCAGCACAGTATTATGAACCCTCAACCTTCCAACAGCCACCAAACTCACAAGCAGCATCTCCTTCTTCCCTTCTGAACCCAAGATAACATCAACTCCTGGGCTGGGTCACTGCACCAGTTCCATGAGGACAGCTCAGCACTGAAGCCTTGTGAATAACAACAGGTAACTCCCAATTCTGCTATCATCCCCCAAAAGATGCTATAAGATAGCATATATGTATATATTACTTATATACATATATAAGTAAGATGCTATATATCAGAACTGGTATCTATTTTTAAGTAATTTCAGAAATTACAAATTGAACTACTTTGAGGTTGCAAAACAAGTTTTTGTGTTGCTCACAACATTAATGCAGGTGGTGCTTATCTCCCCCTTCACCAAAACATAATACAGAGTTTTTAATAAAAGTTGATTCAACAAAGTTTACCAGAATATTCTTTGCTTGGAATAAATAAACACCAATAGCTGAAAGCTGCCATAGATTCAGCTGCTTTTTTAAAAAGCCAACTTTCCTACTACACAATTTTTTTCTTCTGTACTTGTCATATATTAATAGGACAAGAGGAATAGTTATGAAAGGTTCACTCACAAATTTAAAATATCAAGGCAAGAAAGCATTAAGTGAGAATAAGTCCTGAATTTCTGACTGAAGTATTGCACAAGACCAGGCTTCTGCACTAATTAATTCATACACAGGAGTGAAAAGCTGAAGGGAACAGAAACCAACCACCTGAATTCCGATTATTAAAAACAATGCATGTTTGAACACAATTCACCTGTTTGTTCCGACTGCAGCTAGTCCATAATTAATGTGCAATTCAATTTGAAATGGCTGATATAATTACTTCATGGACCATAGAGGGAAAATACAGTGCAACCTATCGCACATTTTGGCCAAAATCTGAAAGACCAACAGTAATTTGAGAAAATATACTATACCAATTTGTTCTTGCTCTGTCTTTAATAAACAGATTCTTAAGGTAATTTAGCAAACACAGTAAGATCTATTATCAAACAATCAGCTATGTGCTATGCCCAAATGCCAGCAGGTTTTCCCATACAAGAATTTCCATCCACTTAAGCAACAGGCAGAGCTGGTCTTTGAGCCCAGAACACAAATCCTCACTCCAAAATCCTGTTATTCCATTTTAGAAAACTGTACAATTCAAGCCAACACATTCCAAAAGAATGGGATTTTGAACACAGATATTTGTGTGCACTGCGACTCCTGGAAAGTGTGACTTTCAAGGAGCTGACATTTCTCTACAAAGGAAATAAACACTCAAGCTGGGAGGGAATGCAATCTGTAGATGGCTGGAAAACCTAACATGAAAAAAAAATGTTGTTGAGAAAGACAGGGACAAACCTTTAAATGTTACATCCCAAAACAAAGCACATGGAATTACTTAAAAGGGGAGAGGCCAATTATTTCAGAAATGCTTCTCTAGAGTAAGAATAAGATTATTTTCAGAACAAAGTGATCAGTGCCCCCCAGCACACTGTGGCAGTTCCACGTACCTGGTATTCCGATGAAGGTGAAACCTACCCAGGGGCACACACAAAAACTACAGCAGAGCTTTAGAGAACAGGACTGCCATTTCAAAGAAAACACCACCAAGTAATTCCAAAATTTGCAGAATGCAAACAACTTTCAAGCACAGTTCAAACACAACAGAATTTAGCAATTCACTTTGGTAACTACAAGGTAAAAACCAGCCAAATGTCCACTTACCTTTTGACTGGAAAGTTTAATTAACTCCAATAAAACCATTTCTTCACACATGTTTGTTATTTAAACTGAGTTTTCCTTCCAAAGCAGAAACTCTGCCATGAGAACACTAGATAATAATTTTCTCAAACCCAAGAAAAGTCACATTTTACATGACCACCACATTACTTGACTCCATGAATTCCCCCTTCTGTAATGGTGTGTGTTACAACTTACAGAGTGGTTTTTTTATGCTTGTTTTTGAAATCACCATTGAAATCTTAAAATTCTGAAGCTTGTGAGGTTTGTTTGCTTTGTTTTATTAGAAAAAATACTCAGGCAAGGTCTACAATCATCTGTCAATTATAAATGACTTACAAGAAATTCATGAAGCAATAAAATTAAAAAAATACAAATACAAACTATATCTGAAACACTTCTATTTGGCAATTTTATAACAAATAAAAAACAAAAAGAAACAAGGATTACGGATTACTTTATAGGTACAGAAAAAGCAGTAGGTGAAGTGCTCAAGCAAAAAAAAATAAAAAATAAAAAAAACCCAAAACACTGCATTTTTTCCAAAAATAAAGTCACGTCACTACAGATTTTATGAATAATACCCTTATTAAACAACCATTCCAGAACATCTTATATTAGTGGTGCTTTTAATCTGCACTTCATATCGTTGATAAGATTACTTTTTTGTGTATATAAGTAACATTTTTAACCCACTGGAGCTAAGCAAGACTCATGTCAGTACCAATGCAGAATGCATTTGTATTACATTAGGATATGCTCACTTCTGCAACCAAAGGGTTACTTTAAGTCTTAATCTATTTAATAAAAATTTAGTGTAAAAACTGCTGGTTATTAGTTTCACTGTAGTAAATTCCTCCCCAACAAGGAGGACTAACTCTGCAGTTTGACTGCATATATCCATACAAATTTTACATATTAGTTCCTTCCGACAGTAAGGAAAAAACTAATTCTGTGTTTGCTATTAGAAAGGAGTGCCATGAATTAATTATGGGTACTATTCATCCCTCTAAGATTTCTGGGAAGGATGTTCAATGCATTTTTGTTCTTACAACAGATACTAACAGTAGTATATAGTCCCTTAGGTATGTAAAAGAAGGTTTTTTTTTTTACTGTTAAGGAAGGTGCTTTTTTTAAACAATTCTTCTGGCAGCACTAGTGAATTACAATATCCTTCAATATTATTTCTACCGTAATATATACATTTTAACTTTCATGCCTCTAGAAAAACATCTACAGTACATTTCATAATATAAAAATATATTACAAATCTGCTGAAATATTTACAAGCAATGTCCTATTATCTATATGCAACATTTTTGTCTCCATACAAAGACTAACAGGTTAGACGCATCTCTATTTGTCAGTTAAAAAAAATCCACGGCTCCTTGCTTATTAAGCAAGAAAATGATTTTACTTTCCTTTTCAAAGCCAACTTTGGTGCATAAAGGATTGAATTTCTAGATTAATTTTTTTTTTCTTAAAAAATACCATTTTCTTTACATCTAGAAAACATTAGGCCAAATAAAGTATACTTTACAAGTGAATGGGGATCCTAGAGGGTCAAAAAAGCAAAATAAATCACCAGTAACACTGACTGCTTACAAAGAGGTTTTCCAAACCCGTCCATTGATACGGATCACATCAAAGCAGATCTGATTAACACACTACACTACTCCTGCAAAGGGGTCAGACAGACTGCAACACTCTGAACATCTTGCAACTGTACTATATGTACTCAGAGTTGACTGGAAAAGACAAGCATTCCATCAACATTTGTTTCAACATCATAATCCAACATATTTTAGGGATCTGCAAAAGGACACAAGATTACAAATGACGAATGATTACTATCCACCATACTCAAAGGGCAACAGGATCATCCCTTGGTAGCTGTTCTATTGTCTGGCATGTGTTAGATTTAGTTAACATTGACAGGAAGCCCAATAGCTTGTTAACAGTTCTCCTGGGAATCGAGAGGAAATGGTGATGGTTACTTTTTCTTTCCATCAAATATAGACTACTGTATTCACTAAAGAAAAAAGCAGCTTAAAGAAGCAAGCATGCAAAGCCTTTTAGTTGTTCCACTAAGTTGCCAGAAGAGTGTTTGCTCAGTCTCCCACTGTACCATTCCATGAAAATGTGGATATACAGTAATATATTAATATATTCCACGGAAGCATCAACTTCATTCACAGAATGTTTACACTAAGCATAAATATTTCTCTAACAAAAACAAACAAAAAAAAACAAACAGAAAAAAAAGAAAAAAAAAAAAAAAGATGGGATTTGACTAATGTGCAACTTTATTTCTAAATCCATTGTCAGTGACTAAGACTGCAGGTGTCCCCACTTGCTTGGTTTTTACCTCTTCAATCTCTTCTGGGGCATTGTTCTGTAAAAGAAGATGGTACAGCTTTACATTAAGACCTGGTAATGTATGTATCAGTCAGCTGAATGCATTATGAAGTCATGACTATACAAAATCAACTTTCATTTTATTAAAACCAAGAGCTATTTCAGATGATCTCATGAAAGTGTACATTTCAGATAATTATTTCTAACTTTCTATTAAAGCATGACATTTTAGCATGAAATTAATAGCTGCCACTGAATTTCTTTAACTACCTTTTCCTCTTGCAAAGTTTTGGTTTTTAAATTTCTATCATTAAGTTCCCTCAGCTGGTCCCAAAAGCTCATTTCAATCACAGACTGATCCATACTGCTAAAAATAGAATACAGCATTACATGCAGGGACCTTAATTTTATTTGTGAGAGACAGAAAGATTTGCTAATTTTTCTCCAAGGACTTAAGCCAGAACTCATTAAATTTTTATTTTAAAAGGTTACTTTTTTCTTTTCAAAGCAAACTAATCTGTCAAGCTCAGTAAATGTAATCAATATAAAATTATTAACACCTCAATTAGATTATAAAAGTCACTGTGTTAAGCAGTTTTAAAACACACAATCCAATCTTGCCATAACATTTTTATGATTTTACCATTTAAAGCAATGATTCATAGACTAAGGCAAGTATTTAAAACACATTTACAAAGATAGCAAATACAGTAGGATCAGTTTTCATATTGTAAAGCAAGTTTTCATTAATTTGATTAGTGAAATACACTGAATATTAAAGGTGAACTGAAAGGCTTATTGCATTGAAAGGCCTCAGATTAGTGTTTTATTTACTACTTGAGACTCTTGGTCACCAGATGTTAAGGAAGAAACATCGGAACACTGAACTTCTGTTATGATAAACTTTCTTTCCACAACCCATTTTCATGGATTTTTAATATAATCACATAAATGTTTCTATGGATGCTCAAAATTTCAGAATGAATGAAGCATTTCAGATTACCTTTAAAAACTGTACACACAGAACTGTGGGTACTGACAATCATGGGAGAGCAGTAATAAAGAGGGGGGGGGGAGAATCAGGAAATTATTAGAAACCAGATGGATTAGAAGCCAATCTGAGGGGCCTAAAAACAGAAATGTGAAAGTAGCTTAAAGACAAGTAACATGGATTGTTCCCTTTTGTCCCCCTATAAAGAATCTTGTAATAAAAAAGTAACAGTACTTGAATACAAGTACAAGTTTCAAGGTAATACTGCATGTATTACAGCTGAATATAATATGGAAAGATAAATTTGGACTTTAAAAAAATTGGTATACAAACCAGTATGTGATCTTAACAGAAGTGATCTTTCAGGATTCCACTGTATGTACTTCCTTTACTAGAATTTCTGTACACCAAGCACAAAAAAGTAAAATACACTTGGTAAATACACACATTCCCCGTTTCTCAGTCACTAGAGTTTAGTTCAAGAAGTAATTCTGAAATAACTTAAGACCTCAGAACTTAACTCCTGGACGTTTACAGTACCAAGGCTCCTTGATCTGGTGTATAATACATTAGCAATCCTGATTTTCCAACGTCAAAAAGTTAAGTGAGGCTTAAGATAACATTCAAGTAAAGAAAGTTTCAAAGTTAAGATGTTACCTGTAAATGTTTGGGTCCAGAAGCAAGGCAGTATCTTTTGGTAGTTTTGATAAGTGAACTACTTTAGTTTTTAACTGATGTCGCTCACTTTCATTTACCCACACATCAGGCAGACTATGAATAAATAAATAAAATAAAAATATTCAAAAAAGATCAACTATTTTTCTTACCATAAAATTATGTAGTAAACTAGTACATATGAAGCAATTTTCACATTTCCCTGGTTGAAAAAGCATCTTCACCAAAGTGAGGAAAGGCAGCCAATCTTTACACATTTTACTTTGAAGTTTTTCAGGTTCTCAGTTTGAAAAGAAGACACTGAACAGAATTTAGATTATTCCAGAAACATATTCCAAGTGTACAATGATAATGGCACTGCATTCTCCACTGTAAAACTTTAATGTGAAAAAACAACCAGACCTTTGAAAATCATTTCTTTTACTAGGTAGAAATTCTTTGATTCTGTTCAATTAAAGGAGAGAATATACTGCAGGCACCGAGATTTTTTACATTAATTTGCTTCCTCCAAGCTCAAAAAGCTTCAAAGACAAAATACTTCAACTTTGCTGAAGGTAATTGTTTGATTATCCTATTCTTTGGGGTTTTGGTGGGGTTTTAAATTTTTTTTATGTGTCCCAGAAGCCAAAGATTAACTTCAGGTTGGAGGAGGAGTTTGTAATTAAGGAGCCTAAGTCTTTAAAACAGGTTTCAAATTCAGAAGCCCAACACTTAAAACTAAATGTGATGGCTCCTTCTCTGAAAAGCCAAATTTCACAGACTTTTGCAAATTATTTCCCCAAATCTGTATTTTGCAGATTTCACTTGGTGTGAAAGTTAGCTGCAACTCAAATTCAATTTTTCGGGTAAACTATTCAAAATATGAAATGAAACCCAGAACCTCTAACCCAGCAGGAAAAGGAGTTTCTCCAATTAATCCTTTCAGATGAAGAAGGAAAAAAAAAGAAAAAACAACAGGGCAGAGGGGGAGGGAGAACGACCCAGCAGGCAATCCATTTATTCACTAAGTCTCATGAATCATGAAAGGTGGAAAAGCAACAGGGAAGTTTTTTAAATAAAGCCAAAAATCACTTTTTGGACAACCAACATTGGGAAGACATTTCCAGTAGCAACTGTATGCTCAAGATACAAACAGCAAAAAAGAAAACTTTCCACATACAGAGATTTGAAATATACAGAAAGACAGCTTAGTAATCTGATTTACTGACACCAAAAATTCCTGCTCTTAACAAAAACTAAAACCAACAAAATACCCCCCATCCTCCCAGCCCACTAGAAGTTATTTTCCTCTTGTAGAGGAAACAACTTAAAGACTTGTATCTATTTTTCATGACCAAAACCCTAAACATATGGATATCCTGAAGAACTTTTACAGTTTCTCAAGAGGATTCTGTAGAAGCTAAATCATTACTGCCAGCTCCATGGGGAAGGCTGATGAACAGCTCAGTGGAGTGGAAAGGAATCACCATGACTGCATTTCACTTCCTGAAGCGTGAGTACCCTGACAGTGTAAAACAGACTGATGGCGTGTGCCAGGACACCTTGGCATCTCCTCTGCTCTCATGGAATCATCAAGATGAACTGAATACTCAGTAATTCAAAACTACATCATTCAGTGCCTGAAATACACACTATCTAACCCAACCAAGATGCAACAAACAGCAATATAAAACACATTACTCCTCTGATCTGACCAACCAAATCTAAAGTCCATTGGGAATTGTGAGAAATGAAAAAATGGAAAATTCTACAGATGCTGAAGGGTTCAATCTGCAGCCTTGGAAAGAGCTTGGGTTAATGTAATGATAAAGGTACAGAAACATTAGGTAAAAAATTATAAATTTATGTCCCTATAGTGGTAAGTAAGAATATGTTTTGAGTAAGTAAGAAATTATATTAAGTAAAACAGTTGGAGGTTTGAGCTGTAATGATGTGATTTATAGAGTAGGTTAGGGATTTAGAAGCTGTAACAGAGGTGTGTGTATGAGTACATGACCTGTCAGCTTATTGGTTAAGCAACAGACACAGTGCAGCAAAATTAAGCAAAGGTGATAGGTTATTAAATAAAAACAAGTTTTATGTTAACCGTTTATTGGACCAAAATGTTCTGTATTGCTGTGTGATGAAGAAACCCGTGACTACCTTGAGCTATGGCTGACTTGTTGCTCCTCTCTAAATCTCATGCCTTCAGACTGACATCTTATCTGAGAGCAATAAATCATCTCAAAGCAAGGTGGTCCTATGCCTCGTTTTTCATCTCGACAGGGAATGCCTTGACATTACTGAACAACCTGTCTTCTCCACTGCAGAGATTCTAATACTGAATTCATCTGCATGAGCAAAAAACTCATTTGGCTCTGTATTACAAAAATATTACTCTATTTTTCATCTTCCCAGTGTTGCATACTTCTTAATGCTTAGCTCAAAATAAAATTAACCGTCTTCATCAGTAACATTTTAAAAATAATAATTTCAGAATGCTGTTAGATATAGTACTACCACCTGTCCTAAAAGGAATCAAAAAACTGCCTATTTTATAAGAATATTTTAGCTGTTGTCTCTCATGATGAATTGAAACTTGTGACAAAATGCATTAAAAATACAGATGCAAATTTAACTGAACTGGTATTAGAGCCCAAAGCATTTTTAAAACATAAACTTTAACTCAAATATTCAAAGGCACAAAATAATTTAGTAACAATTCATTGATCCCACTGTAAATCCTCCTCCACTGAAAACATATCACTACCTCACATGTCCTCATTCAATCAATATATCAATCATATCAATATACTCACATGTCCTCTGGTGTCCAATGAAGCAAGAGTTTTATTTTGCCAGAATCTTCTTTTCTTTTAGCTATTACCTATAATAATTACAAAATCATACTTAAAACCAAAATGACAGATTTTTTTACTCAGAAGTTGTTGTTCCTCATGTCCTACTAGACATTCACAGAAAGTAAACTGTTATACCCCTTGCAAGTTGTGTGCCTGCAATAAATATGCTCTGAAGACTTAAACTTGTTTTGCAAAGAACTTAAGTCCATTTAAGTTTTTAAGTGAAACCACAATTCAGCCAGAAGATGTAGACTTAATACAGCTTTATTTGGAAATATTCTTACTATACTCTCTACATATCCTGCACTGTCCCAGAAACAAAATGGAATTTCAAAGGAAATGTGCATCAAAGTTGTCTCAAATCAGACATGGAGTTTTGCTGACCTCTTCTGGAAAAAGAAAACAATTTCACACTGTAAATTGGTATGCATCTCACTGTATTCATTTACTGTCTTACAAGGTTTCAATATACTGAAACAATGTAACTACTTAAAATACATGTGGCCACTGAACTGAAACACCTGAAAAGCTGGACCAGAGAACAGTTTAGCGTTCAAATCTTTTACAGAATTAATTCAAGCCACTTCAAATCTTGGAGGTGGCATGACAGGGCAACTTCTAAGTTACATTTCCTTAGTTTAACTAGACATGCTTGGCTTTTTCCATCTAACAATTCAAAGAATTAAAATACAAAGAATTTGACTCAAAAAAAAGCCAGCAGAAAAAAAATCATAATCAAGTCAAAGGTGTATTCTGGATGGCAAACATACTTTCAAAAAGGTTTTATTAATAACTGCATTCTAAATATTTCCATATCTACAAAGAAAAGGTTGTGTTTAAAAAAGTATATATAAATGAAAGGATGTGCCTTTACAGAGAACATGAAAGACACTATAGTGACTGCTTAGAAATTTTTTATATTAGAATATCTGCCCTGAACTACATTGCACTGTGCTCACACTCTTGCGCTGCGTAAAACAATAAAGCCACATCATTTATGTCTGTTTTCAGACAACTTCATCTTCCTGTTTTCCACCTTTCAAATTAATGTCTCTGATAATTACACATTTTTTTCTTCATCTGAAGGTGGACCACACAGACTTATTATGCCATTTAGCCAGTCACCATTCAAATCCCATGTCCTAGTGCTTTTAAGTGATGCAAAATGAGTGTTTGCATCTGAGGTATTGTTAGCTCAGTGAAATGGTGCACGTCCACAAAACAGCTCCTGGCCTACCTTTCCTTTTTAAAGCTGATTTTAGGGTGAGTCTCATCACCAAAGCTGATGTCCAGCACACCCAAATACAGCAGCCAAGCACAGCATGGGGCTGGAATCCTAGAGCAGTTCTCCCACTGGTACAACCTCTCCCACAACTGAGGTCTAAGCAATTTCAGATCTAATCAACCTCCTACCATCTCGAGTCATACATGCACGGATGAGCTAAAAGGATTTTCACCACTTCCTTCAAGTTAATGTGAGCAGTTTTAGAGCAGATTCCTCTAATTCCACTTCCTTATGAATTATTCCAATAGCTAGAGCTGTTCTTCCATAACTGAGTAGACTGCCTAGATAACCTTTCAGATTAAAGGAATCTGTGAATTGGAAGAAAATCTGCTCTTCTCACAGCATTGTAAAATCCACATTGGCCAGGGAAACCAGAATGAGATTTAAATACAGTTACAGCTAAACCATTGCAATCTCCACTTGCAGCTGGTGCACAATGTACATAAAGTTCAGCAGAAATATTTTGGAAAAGATTTCCAATACAGGCCACAGGTATTTAGAACAATCATCAGTCTTGCAAGACAAGGTGAAATAAGCTTCATGCATACAAAATCACCTTTTATTTATGGAAAGAACTGATAGTTCAAGAGCTTGAATCCCTTAGTAAGATTAAGATGTAGCTGAAAACATGTTAGCCAGCAGTCCTCATTTGGACTATTCTATCAATTTAGAGATATCCCTCCTCATTTTGTGCCATCTCTTACATCTTTTCTTCAGCCAAGTCTCCACCTTTTACATGCCCTCTTCTCCCAATATGCCTAAGAAAACCTGAGGTTATTCAACTTTTTTAACTTCCTCTATCCTTCTACCCCAATTCAGTACTTTATCCCTGCTTTGAACACTTCTAAATTAATACTGCTGCCTTTTCTATCCAAACACAAGTTTCCCCACTTGGTTCTTGCCTCCTTCCAGCAATTCACCAATATTTTGGTGGTACGTTTATTAAAAAAAAATGGGGAAATGAAAGGAATAAATTTATTTAGAATTATATCTTTTAAACTGAAGAATAAAAAGGGGAATAAACACTTATTTCAGACCAGCATCTTTACATACTCAATTATACACCAAGAATATTTGTGATAAATTAGCACTGTCACTTCATGACCATGGAAATGCAATCTGAACTGTGTTCTTATTTAGAAGATAGAACCAATTTTCCTCTGCAACACAAAGTTGTTGTTACATATTCCCCAACTGGATCAGACAGGAAATGCTGCAATCCATTCAATCTGTGAGCTAGAACAACTACCACCAATACTTCTTAAAAGTTCATTTACTAATAGCAGTGGACAACTCAACAATATAAAGGAGCCATTATTACTTATTTCTGATTAAATGTCTACAGCAGTAAGAGGAAACCAGAAATCTTTCTGAAAGATTAGATTTTTCAGACACAAAGGTAAACAAACAGAATGCATCATAGATATACTTACAGTACTATGAAATACAACACTGTGGCCTTTTCCTAAACTTTCTATATGTGCTGAGAGATTAAAGCAGATGGCTCGATGTCTTATAGCATCCAGTGTTTGTGCATCAAAAAAGTCATGAGGTCTTGCTGGAAAAAAGGAAAAGAGATCCTTAGTGTTCAGCACGTTGAAAGCATTCAAACACGTAAATAGGTCTGAAGTGTCATTAGTAAATCATTTCTCATTATGTCACTAGCACTACCTTGTCAGAGAGCTGCAAACATTAATTTCACTGAGAGGGAGAAATTATTCCTCGAGAAGCAGAGTTCAAGTTTGGTCAAAACACACTCCCTGTGGATGAAACAGCTATTTTCAAAAATGTAACCACATCCACCCATTTCAGTTTCAATAATGCTGAATATTCAGGTGAAAAACTCCACAGTACTACACATTTCTCTCTATGTACAAGTTGTTATTCAGTGTTCTTGGATTATTACTGAAGATTTTCTGCCCAAGAAGCACCAACTGCATGCATCACATATTACTGTTCAATTTATAATGAGGAAAGCACAACTAACACCCATCTGAGATTTTACAACCAGTATAAAACCAGCAGGCATTATAAAGACCTCTTTCTTTTAGAAAAGGATTTTTACAGTTAAATGTTTCTTGAACCATAGGAAGATTGTTGAATTTTTCATTTAGGGTGTAAAATAAATCAATTCTACACTAAAAGTACTTAAACTAAAAAGTAATTGCTATTAAGAACATATTTGCATGGTATTAGAAATATTTCACAATAAAGTTTTAAAATATACCATATAAAACTCTAATAACATTACATTAGCAAAGAAGTCTGAATGAAAATATTCACATTTTTAAGCCTTGCTTGAAAGTAGCAATTTATTAAATAACACACTGAAATTAAAAGTAAGAATAGGAACTAGTATTACATTATCAACTATGTATTACCCTGAAATCTGCACAAACAGCGATTCAAACTTCTGCTGCCTTCATTTAAAACAGCTTCTGCATCCATTATTTCAAAGTGAACTACAAATTCCACTTGGAGCTCGCATTTGCTGCACTCCTGGGGCTGATTGTTGGTAAGCATTCATCTGTACACTCTGTTCTGTCCCTGCTCCATCTCAGTTGGACACTGCCAATTAGGCAATCATCTCACTGCAATGTTTTCTCGCTCTAAGTGGCAATGCAGGACCACAGCTCGTGCTGCAGGTGGTCAGTGATGCAAGCATATAAATATTTGATAAATAAATATGAGGGAGGAAAGGAGGGAGGGTGGAAAGAAGGGGAAAAAAAAACCCACAAACCCAAATTTTTGTTTTCAGTTTCATGCAGCAAATTTCTCCAGGATTTACAGTGAAAAACATTCAGCAGACTGAGAAGAAAGGGTACTATTTTTCACAAGTGTATAAATTAATTTATTCTTAAGTGTTGATGTTGTATTTTCTATGCATCTTTACCCTCAAAATGATTTTGAGGAAATGGCTTTTAAGTATCTTCCTTCCTGCTTAATAATACAAGTTTCAAGTACACATGAATTCCTTAAGTCAAATATATTACATCATCACATCAGTAACCCAGCAAAGAAAAATCCAAGCCCTACCTAAGTAACAGTCTTATTGTAAATTTCATGAACAATGTTCATGAACTTCCTTATCTCTTACATTCCTCCTGTGCACTCAATTATCATGCTAGTTAATAACTAGAGTGTCATATTTGCAATGAAAAAGCAAGTGACGATACGGTTTTCAAGGTAGCTTCAGAACAGCAATACTGTGACCTATTTTAGAGGTACACACTTTCAATATATTTGGTTCTAAATGCCACTCTGTATGAATGAGGGAACATGTAAAAGGCCATCCAGAAGAGAAAACAAGCCCAGACTCTAATCCTGAATTATTCTACATCAAAATTTTTAAGACAAATAAGATCTGTATAGCACCATGAATGTAACCAGCTAAAAGGGTGATGCCTGTAAAACAAGCTGTTATGATAAAAGGCTGATTTTCAAACCTGGAAGAACATGCCTTGTTCACAGACAGGACAAAAGAAAAGTAAAACAGTTTAAAATGGCACGATGTTAAAAACCAATTAAGTAACAGCAAAAATTCTCCTTATAGTCTAAGTTAGAAGATTGTATTCTCATCACATATACCCACAGTGAAATCTCCTTTGTCATTATACATTCTCTCACAGAAGGGCGTCACCTTCAGGTATAAAACAGAGGAAGCAAATGTATAAATTTGCTGTACTTAAACTATTTAGAATTTACACATGAGGGTGCTTCAGTAACAGCATATATTGGCCATTAATTGTCAATAAATATTTAATAATGCATTTACACCATTAAAAAAGGAGGGTCTAATAAAACCATGAGGTAGAAAGAACGATCTGACAGTATTTTTTTCCAGAGACAAATTGTTTTGTGCTGAAAAACTGCTATCTTTTGTCAAATTATTATCTGCAAGTGATTTAAACAGATTGTCTGCTACCAAATGGCATTTTGCTTTATATCCATGTCATTAAGTCCTTGTAACCCTACTTGCAGAGAACCTGGTACATGTGTTAAACACCTCTCCTTCTGGGCACTTAAAAATACCGAATTATATATCCAGGTTCTTAGCTTTATATACTCTAGACTGAAAACACTTAATGATGTTAATTGTGTTATTTTGGCTTCTTAGATAGGGGTTTTGCCTTCCCCCATTCAAAAACAAACCATACAAACTTTAGTTAAATTCATTAAGCTAAGAAACAGAAAGACAAGCAAAACTGTATCAGCCCTTTGTCACGTTCACCTCACCAACAATAATCCACACAAAGTTGGAAAGGAAAGCTGCCAATACTTAGCATTTTCAGAAAATGCCATCAACTTTGGATACATTTCTGGGTCACATACCCTCTGGAGAAATACATTACAGTAGTCAGTTCCCAATTCAGTAAGAGATGATTTCTGCCTTAAGGCAAAAGTCTACAGCCAGCATTGCATTTGTCTCAAGAGGCAAGAAGATAAGAAATTGCTCAAGCAGCTGTCACTTTTCTTCCTGTGCAGCACTTGATCAAGACAGCAGACCATTCAAATACTACAGTCTGGTCTTTAACATTCCCACAATATTTATTATTTACATTTTTTTGCCTAAAATTCATTCATAAATTCTGAAGTAAATTCTTACTACAACTACAGCACCTTAGTAGATGACTTGAAATTTTAATTATGAAGCTGTGATTTGTAATTTGTAAGTTAAGTAATATAAGATGATGTTTATCAATTACTAATAAAATGCCAACCTGAAAAACAACTTCTTCATATAGTGAGGGTGCATATTAATTAAGATCCATTAAATCAGCCACCTAACAAAATCAATATGGAGAAGCAAGCTAACATGCAACTTTCGGGAACCTCTGAAAATGAAAATTTTTAAGTGACCAGTCTTAGACATTTATATTTTGAGTAACACAGTCAACAAATCACAATGATCCTTTAGGAACCTGCAATTATCTCAAGATGTCTCTCTCATTACATTTATGATGTAAAAAGATACTGCAAAGTTCTCATTTACACAGATTTCCAGATAGAAAGGGAAAGCTCTTTGAAAATCAAATACTGAAAAGGACTGAAACAGTTCTCTAATTTCTTAAAATGCTGAATTAAAATTAGAGGAAATCTAATTAAAATTAGAAATCTTAACTTTTAAGACACGTTTTACAACGTAATTTGTTCATGTGTGTTTTAAAAATACCCAGGCATACCCAGAGGCTCAGGAACCTTTTCAGAATTCCAGAGGAAATGTAACTTCCCAGGACACACTTGTCTGCATGCAAGGCAGGAACATGACCACTGCTTCATAAATGTCCATAAAGTTCCTTAAAACACAGGTGAGGTATTAAGAATAAATCACAATCCTGTGATAAAGAGTAATCACCTCCAACCACTAGTACCTGAATCCACTGTTGCAGTACCATTTGAGTAACTGAGAAGTGTATTTCTTCACAGAAAGATGGATACAGTTACATGTTCTGCTACAGAGGAGTTTTGGAGAAATAAAACCGAATAGTACAAGATTTTAAATGTCAAGTGCTTCATAAAAAAAAGATATCTTGAGCTACTTTCCAATACTGTAAGATGAATTTTGCAACACGGGTAAAAATTCATGTTATTTTTATTTCAACTGTTGACATACCAGCAGAAAAAAAATGTAAATAGGTTTTTTATATAGGTTTTTATATATATGTATATAGGTTTATATTTTTTTCATGTCTCCTCTAAAATGCAGGTGTCAGAGTAACATTTCAATATTATCAAATGATCATATTGGAGAGTTGCATCCAAAGCAATTATAAGCCAAAGTGAAATATTTTAAAAATTGCCTAATCTTTCCTAACTATTCTTGTAGATTAGAATTTCTATAGAAATCTGATGTTTCATTAGTTTAATGCTAGGACAACTTGGGAATCAAACTACTACATCCAAATGGACTAGAAGAGGTACTGGGTAAAGTGATTATTTCTTGCTAGAGGAAATAGTTCTCATTTTAAATGACAAAACACCTCTCAGCACATTGGTTCATATAAAATTAATGAACATCAACTATGTGGCGACAGATTAAAAAAACATAGCAAGTCAATTCTGCCCAAAATTAGATCTTGGTTATGCTCATAAAACTGTCATTAACATAATGAAATGTTGTGCTCAAAAAAGAGCTTATATAACATGCATTTATCTCTAATTTATATGAATCTGCAATCTCTGTCTGAACTTCAGATCTCATCAGCAGTAAACAAAACACTTTCAAACAGTAATACAGTCAGTAAACAAAAAGCAACTCTAAAATAAAAAGCTTCTTTTAGTCGGCAACTCCAATTGTTGCTCACAGGAAACCCATCTTTTTTCCTTGACACACAAAGATTTACCCTGAAAAAGAACATAAACAGAATCTGGAGTTCTTTTCTTCCCATCAGAAGGAATGCCAGCCCTACCAGACTCAAATATGCAGACAAACCACCAGAGTGAGGAGGAACTTCCACTCTAAGACAAACCTTTCAAGAACTTCTACTTCTCTGAAACACTTACGTAGTGATCGTCGTCTCTTATTCTTCAATTTTCTTCTTTTATTCATTCCAGCTTTAGATGGAGATTCCTCTTTGGCCTTTGGCTGGCTGGCAACTTTTGAAGAGTTCTGCTGGCTGAAGTGTGTGGGCACATGACGGGCAAGTCCTCCCTGAGATGCAAAGCTGGCATTGCACCCACCAACTACACACTAGTGAGAAAAAACAGAGCAACTGCATCAGTGGCTGTGTGGCACAGAAGCTTCAGAGACCTTGACTTTTCTGCCTCAGCTTCCAACACACTAAAGCAAAACCAAATTCTTAATGACCATGCAATTCTTAAAAAGAAAAACAAAAAGAAATTCTGTAACACATTTGTTTGAAGTTTTTAACTCTCAATAATTATGTCATGATATTACATTTCTTTATGCCATACTATATTTTATTTTGCATAGCATAAAATTAATCTCAATGCACTGGCAAATTAAATTTTCCACAGAAAACAGGCTTCTGAAGAACTTCCCTCTTCATGGACCAACATTCCCTTGCCTTCCAAAGTACTGCACTGTTACTGTTTCTCAACACCTCTCCAATGCTCTGTGTTTGGTAACAGTAACACTCTCTAACATCCTCCTTTTTTGTGACAAAGCTGAAGTAACAAAGACATGCTCACACACATTAAATTCAAACAGCTTAATGCTCTTTGTAAACACTATAAAAAGTCAGTGACAGCTGCCTTACAGCTCTGTCTATAACTTCAGTAAAGTAGTAGTAACAATTATTTATACATTCAGTTTGGGATGCTGCTGTCACTTCAGGAGCATTTAAGGTAATTCTCTCATTTAAAGGAAATGTCCTCACTCAACAGAAATCCAACAAAGCAGAAACACACAAACTGAATGACAGCAGCAACTAAGCTTGTAGTGGCTACAATTGTTGTTATTTTTATAAGTATCTGGTTCATATTTACAATTATTTCATTTGCAAAATAAGTATTTAAATGATACCATTGGAGAGGGAAGCACAACCCTTTCCTATTGTGCTCTGAGCTTACATGGATAATAGAAAAGTGATTTTAGATTATGCATTTTATCACTGGCTGCAATTAGCTGTGTATCCATATGATTGATTTTTCTTTGGATCTAGACAATAGCAGTAGGACAAATGAGTGGATCAGCCAGCAGCAAAAATCCTATCACCAGCCTAAACCATTGGAAAGTTCTCCTCCTTCCACAACTGCTTGGCTCTTCCTTTCCTTCCCCTGTTTCTCAGCCCTTTCACCTGCCTCTTTTCCTAACACTTCCCTTCACAGCAAACAAATGAGGCAGCTCCAACAGGAGATTGAGAATAAGGAATGCTGCTGCAACTATGGCCATAGTGCTACTATGACATTTTGAAGGCTAAGGATGAATTTCCAAGCTTACAGTAACCTGCCCCATGCCTGGGAATTTGATTGGAAAACAAGAAAATAGCTTTAGAACTCCATCTGTCCCACTTCTTGCCCCTAAAGCCCAACTGTGTTGTTTTTTAACAGTGGTTACAGAACTGCAAAGTCTATTTCTGTCTCAGACTCAGCAAACGCTTTTCCATGATCAGTAGTAAAATACAGTCCACAAAGAGAAAAAACTGTGCTGTCCCCAATAGCTTGATACTTGCTGCAGGATTAAAAATATGTACACAGATTTCAAGGCAGTAAAAGGCAAAAAAATCAAAGCATTTTTCCAATTCTTTTTGTCTGTGCTTGTTGTGTTTTTTGAAAGGGAAGAATTCTTAGAGGGAGTTAGAGAAAGTTCTCTAAGTACTGAACTAACTCAAACATTAAATTCCCTGACAAAAAGCTTGAAGAACCTTTACACTCTATTTGTTCCCCTCTGCCTCCTGCACTAAAAAGCATCTTAAGAACTGTGAAGATCTCTACCAAAATTGCCTCTTTTTTTTACCTTATTTTTTACCTTATTTTTACCTTATTTTTAACTTGCCCTAAGATTTCCCATGTTCAAACAAACAGCAATATTGTCTACTCAGACTGTAGTGACTTACAATGGAAGAAATCCCAGCACACCTGTGAATTCAAACACACTCTGGATGCTGATCTCATTTACACTGCAGCAACTCCAACACAGTTTTCCTTACTTTAAATTCATACTGAACATTAAAATTCACACTTACAGAATCAGAGGATGGTTTGGGTTGGAAGGGTGCTTTAAAAGTCATTCAGTTCCAAGCCCCCTGCTGTGGGTAAGGCCAGCATCTACTAAATTATGTTGCTAAGCCCTACCAGCCTGATCTTGAACTCAAAATGCTTATTTTTATGTAAGATGATTTAACTCACAATCAACAGATATGTGCACAATGCATGTGTGCGTTATTTTAAACATATTTTGCTCTCCTTTTTTTTATCCTTGAAATAGTCTTGTCCATACAAGCAGCTTCATTAAACTAAACCACCAAATCTAAATTCAGGATTAACTTTCACTAATGTGCTCCTGAATTCAGATTCCACCCCTTTCTCATCATACAGACACTGTCAGGAAAAAAAACCAGCTCCAAAAAGCCCATGTCCTGAAATTCAGTCACACTGAGAAAATTTTAGTTTTACCAATGCTTTCTAGAGGTCAAAAACAACCTGAAGCCTTGGTACAATGCATGCATTACCATATTCCAAATTAAATATAGTATCAAAGTACAGTATTTTTTTTCCTCTGGAAAAAAGCACAATCTATGTGTCAGCCACTTTTCTAAAACTTTTCAAACCGTAACTTCATTTCTTTTCAGATGCATTATTCTTTTCAGGAAACATTTTATGACAAACTGCAGGTTGATTCACGATGTCAAAACTTTTTTCTTGTCACGTACAGAGCAAACAATTAGAAATATTCTGTATCAGTTATCTACAGAAGCTACTGCTAACTTTTCTTGCACTACCCAAATTTTACTTTCAAAACCCCCAAACCAACATCCTTAGATCCTCAATATCTGCAACAAGAAATTGTCTTTTTCCAGAAAGCTTATTTATAATCTACAGCCACAGTACAAATTATCTACAGAAATTATTACATTTAGATTTTGTGTACTTTAAGACTACCTGATCACATCTTCAAATAATCAACAGCTGACAGATCAAAGATGACAGAGAATGCCTTTGTAGTAGACAGGAAATAGTAGAAGAGGAGAATGAAAAAATCTTACCTGTTTGTTCTTTTTTTTCTCTAAAATAATATATCCAGCAATCCGTTACTAATGGGTAAAGTCTCTTCTCTCCAAAGATAAAGGAGCAGTTCAGGCTGTCACTTCAGGATCTCTGGACGGTAAGTCACACCAAATCAGCTTCCCACCAGATAAATTATATAGCTCTAGAGGGCTTCTAATAAGTCAAACTCAACTATTATGCACAACTTTAAACCAATCTTTTCATTTTTTCCCCCAAAACCTAAATCTCAATATTTTGCATTGAATTTGAAATACAACAGACTGGGTCCGGATTGGTGGATATGTTACTTCAAGAGAAAGTAAGTAAACATGTAAGAAGTTTAATTTCTCCAGTGTACCCATACCCACCATTATTAATGGGCAGTAATGACCAGTGACTAACAAACAGGATATAAAAGTATCTAGCCATGCAGGTTTTTGTTCTAAATTAAAAAAAAAAAAATCTGCTATTTGGGTTATTCAACATTTAGTTTCTTCTAGTAAATCTAACAGTAATAGTTTTGATATCTGGATAAACTATCTTATTGTCTCAACATCTGTGTGTTTGGGCAGAGCACCTTTACATTTTACATCTTCAGTGCTCTAATGGATAGAAAATATTCTGCCAAGAGAGTAACAGACATGAATTCCCAATGAAGACTGAAGCTGCTGGACTGTGTTTTCTACATTTTACCAAGCATTACTCTAGTGAGAGTTGTATCAAATGCAGTCACCCCTCCATGAATTCTGCAAGTTACAGGAAGCACCAAACTTCATTTTTAATGCTACTTTCTTCCCCATTTTAAGGAGAAGCCTGCAATGAACCTGTGCACTACCATTCATTACCACTAAAAACATTTACCCCACAGGAGCAAACCTTGCATGACTGCTCTGGAACATGAAGAGCATATCCACTGGAATCCATGGGTGAAAGCAGCTGCTAGCATTCCCACATGCACCCTTATAGAAACATTTCAGTTGGAAGAGACCTTCAAGATCATCAGCCCCAATCCTTATGCTAAATGCAACTATTATTTTATTTTTTATTCTTTTTATTTATTATTTTATGCAATTATTTTGCATAAAATCTCCCACTATTTCGTGCTCATCTACCATTTGTCCTTTCATTGTGCTCAACATCTAAGAGCTCATTTGGTGTGTCTACAAGTAACTACCAATGCCAAGTAATACTTGATTAATTTATTTTTGCCCCTGCACACCAGAAACTGTGCTGGAAAACAGGTTGTCACAACTCCTTTAACTATTCCAATACTTAGCAAGTAACAGCCAAGTTGAGGACAAGAAACACGGAGTATCTTCATTCTCTTATTTTCAACTTGCCAAGGACAGTTTGTTGAAAGCAGGATGTTTTCTAACTCAGCAGATTATTCCTCTATGTCCTGTTTATAAGGTCTGAAAGCCAAGTTGCTGAACCCTCAAACAGGACCAGCCCTGCATGCTGACAATACTCCACAATATTCTACTGGTTTCTAAGAAGCTGCAAAATTGTGCAATAGGAGAACTAATAAAGAATAATGTTGAGAGTTTTCTCTCTCAACTCTCTCTGTAAAATCACACACAAAGATGAACATACTAAATGTCTTTGGAGGAAATACCTATATTCAATGAATGTCTACAATGACCAAAAAAAATATGAAAAGGACTGGCTAAAATCAGACTGTAAAGGAAATTGCTCAGAGAGGAGCTGGATGTACACTACCAAGATACTGCCCCACAGAAAAAAGGAGCTAGAATAACAACTGTCTCAAAAATAGGTATCCATAAGGAAATTCACCTTTTCTGTGACACAGGTACTGCAATGTTCATGATGAGAGGGACACACTAAGCCACACAACCAGGAAAAAATAGGATAAACTTATGAAAACATGAACCATTTTGCTTTTGCAATTTAAAAGTGGGTTCATTTCTGTGACAAATGAACTGCACAGTCACATGGTTGATAGAATGAATGGAAAGAGCAGGTTAAACCCACAAAGACCTTTCAATAGGAGAGCAGAACAGTTCATTTAGAGCTGAATGGAGCTTTTAGTCAAAGGACAACTCCATGTGTATCACAAAAAGAGATAATTAAACCCAAAATGTGCAACTACATAAAATGAGTCCATTTGCAAGCAAAAGGAGAACTGGGCAGGGATATATCATTCAATGCAAAAGAGAATTCTGTTTGAGACAGTCCCCAGTGCTTTTCAATTTAAGAAAATAAGTTTTTCTCTTCTTTTCACTAGAAATACAGGAATATATGAATCTGTGATATACTTATTACTCTCTTCTGGTCACTGTATGATTGTAGTGTTCTTTTTACCTTTATAAAAGTAAGATTTCCATGCTTTTAGTTGTCAGTTTCCTAGCTAAGATTCTTTGTTTTTCTTTAAAACAAAGCAGTTCTTCAGACAACAGCATAAAGCTGTACTATTTCCATTACTGCTTCTTACAGCTTTCCTCAAAAATCCCAACATTATTTTTTAGCCAAAAATGACTGAATGACTACTTTCTGCAAGTTTTCTAAAATGACAGATTGTTTCCTTTTGTGTTAGGATTCGAGTATAATTTCATGTGGCAACTGAAGTTTTATTTGAAATTTAGGTTTTGGGAGATATTTTGTCTGCAGCAATGATCAAGAGCAGGTCTTTAAACCAATTCTGACTTCAAAATATCTGACTTTCCCTGAAAGGTGAGCAATTAAGATTTATAAGAGAAGCTAAAAGCATAAAATGGACACACTGGCTCTACTTCTGACTGACTGCCACAAAACAATTAATAAAAGGTTGTTCTTGGACTGGTCAAGACTAATATCCAACACTTCAAGTGTTTTTTGACTCAGAGCAGATTTCTAAAGTTAGCAGAAAAAAAAAAGAAGCAGCAAGTGAAGGAAAGGAGCCAGTTAAATAATGGATTGCCGTCACAGACGCTCACATACTTAGCTAGCTCATGTGAGCCCTGAAGCCTATTTCAGCATAAATGACAGGGGAACAAAAGATGTTACAAAATTCTACTCAGACCACAATTATCCTCCATTCAAAGCTCCCAGGAACAGATTGAGAAATACAGGGATAAAAAACAAACAGAGGGACTCAAGACAGCAGTACGAAAAAATGCAGTGACACACATTGAGCCAGGATGATTAACTACTGCAACCCTTGAATGTTTTGTTCTCTCCCTCAGCAGGACCAGAAAGTACAGAAAATCAGCTGGTGAAACAACAGATATTGAACACAAGATGATTATTATCAGAAACAACTGTTGACAATTTTAGGGCTCTAGCTGTAACCAGCCTAGCCAAAAAAAATAGGATAGCAATTTAAACTGCCTTTGATAGGTAAGCCTGACAGACTCAAAAGTACTACTGGTGTTTCTGAGCTATGCCCACCTCTTCAACCCTCTGTCTCTAAAACTGAGTTTCTTTGACCTAGACTGAATAAGAACACAGATTAAGCTATTAAAAGACTTTCATCCAAGAACAAAACTTGTCATTATACTCTGAGGTAGACAAAATATTTAATTCTAAAATAGAGAAAACCTAAGGTAAAAGTTTCCTCTGGTAACTGGTGGTTGCTCTCTCTGTTACTACTACTACTACTATTATTATTATTAATAATAATCAGAGATTAGGATTTAAGATGCTATCAGTTCCTGGAACAATCATATCTGCAAACTTGTAGGGATCTACAATCCTTACACTATCCTTCCAAGAGCATGCTAAACTCATTCCTCCAAACCCAGGTTATGATAACCTTCAAACTCATTTTTCTGTGGTTACTTTCTGAGTCAGAAATTTTCAGTCTAAACTGCACAGTTCAGTATGGAAAAAAATCTGTTTATTAAAAACAATCTTTTTCACATGCAATGCACTATTTTTACTCTTTTGGTTTTGAGTTTAATTTAGTTTTGTTTTCTGCTGTAACTATTATTAAAACCTATATAGAAAACATAACTACGGAAAGACACCCCTGTAACAGAAAAGTATTTTTAGTAATAAAGCTGGCTTAAAATAAAATTTTTAGAAAGTGGAAAATATTACCTGAGGAGAAAGAGAAGAGATGGAAGACAGGGACTAAAACTTGGTGGGGTTGGGGGTAGGGAAGAAGGAAGCATATAATGCTACCTAAACTCAAAAAAAAAAAACCCAAATCCTGTTTCATTTTCATATCCTACATGGAAGAACTTCAGTCTGAAGTAGTGTGGGTGGGACTTACCATCAAGTGATCCAGGACTGACAGCTATGAACTGCCCCAACTGTATCCATAAGAGGATGAAGCAACTCATTAATAACGGATTGGTGGATATGGGAATGATAAACACTACTATACCTAGAATTGCAGGTACAGATTAAGGGGAGAAAGAAAGAGAAAGTTAGAAAATACTGTGCAGGAAATACAGCCAGCTCAATGGCCCTGCATTCCTGACTTCCTTATTCTTTTCAGAGAAGTGAACCACTAACAGTCACTGCCAGTGCTTCTGGTGAATTTAACAAAAGCAGCTCCTACTCAAGCACAGAATGAGCACCATCAGCCATGATCCAAAACTCAATGTGGAAGTGTAAAGTATGAGAGAAAATATCTCACAGTTACAGTGCAAGCAGCTCAACTGCAAAATGCACAAACCCCCTGAAGTTCAGCACTATTTAGTTTTACACTCCCTGCCATTTGTAGATTAAAAGAAACAGGGATAAAGAAGCAATAACAGTTTCTTCACCTGCTTTTGTAAAAGAACAGGACCTTTGGGCACTATTACTGCAAAGAAGAAGGCTCAGCTCACTTTTTAAGAAATCCTCCAGTGATGGTATTTTTCAATTGACATATTAGTAAAAATAAAGAGAATTTCTCTAATAATAAGAGATCATGTATGCTACAATGAGCCTTACCTTGAAAGGTTTGTCCCCACTGTGTGTCAGCATATGCCTCTGCAACCAACTTTGACTTGTTGAAGGTGTATTATATACTTTGCAACCTTTCCACAAGCAAACAAACACCTAATAGAGTAAAAATACGGTAAGTTTACACAAGTCAGAGATAACAATAAATAAAAAAAATCACATTAGCAAACAAGGCTGTTTCTACATTTCACAACACTTCAAAGAATTCTGAACAATAACCATTTATTTTGAAACACACATCTCATATCTCACCAAGGAAAAAGTAATTACAACCCCAAGTATTCAATAAAAACAGGTCACTGGAAGAAAATACCAACAGACAGATGCTCCTGCAGATAAACACAATCAAGAGCAACAGGATCTGCTGTATTTGTGTTTGCACTCAGTATCTGTATCCACCAGATATGGAGGCAGAACATTTTTAAATGAAAAATTTGCATTTTCTGGGTAGTAGTTCTGAAGTAATTTACTCTCATAAGCAATTAATTTTATTCTTTGAGCATGAAAAAGTAAAAACTCTTAATTGAAGTGCAGTTTATATACCAGAGTTTTGTATTCTGGAATAGCAGATACCTCTAGTTAGGGCCTTATATTCAATTCCTGATGAAGGAAGCTACCATTTCTCATAGGATTCAAAATCTATGGGTGTTTTGTGATTCCAGTGTACAGAACAATCACATGCACAATAGTGCATTAAGGAGAGCAGAACTTACTCATGCTGCTTTTCTCTCTCCTCTCATTGTGTTTATCTGTAACTGAGGGAATAAAAAAGCTCAATGAACTTGCCTTTCATTAGAATTTCCTCAACAGGTCTGTGGGTGAAGGGAGGTAAAGCCCTAATTTGTTGCAGTAAAAGAAAGTTCCCAGGAACAGCACTGTTCATAACATAGGTTTTCAGAAATGCAGGAAACTAATTGGATTTCAGTTTCTTGTTCTCTTTTGGAGAATAAAACCCCTCAATCTTCAAAAGATTTGATTTTCAAAATGAAAAAGCAGCCACGGGAGTTCTACGTTCTTGCTGTATAATAGATACATTACCCAGCTTTACCCAGACAAAGCTGGAAACCCCTCAGTGTCTGTGTGACTGATTCAGACCTACTGACACAAGGCCCAAGCCCCTAAACCTTTGGGGTCTGGCACTCCTCAGTTTTGAGATCCCCTCAAAGCCACAGAATTGGAATTTCTGAGATTTCTGGCTCTGCACCAGCTCCATAAGTGTGCTGGCATTTCCATCAGCAACTGCAGGGCGCTGGCAGAGGTGTGTTACTGTCAAGTTACAGATGGGGGAAATACAAGGACTTGGGTTTGCAACTGCATGCCAGAAGTCTAGACAAGGCTTCTTGGGAATCCCTGTCAAAAAGCTGAACCCAAAATATTTCTGAAATAACATCTTTCGTAAGCACAACTGTTTTGTCAAAAAGTTTCCCATGCTCTTCATGGATGTATCTGGTTTGGACTGCAGCCATGACCTTGGTATTAGCTGGAAAAAATACATTTTTACCACGCAAAGATGTTTATCCTATTCCTTTCCATTCTCAACAAGCAACAACTTAACCCCCACTTTTCTTAAAATTTAGAGCCGCTGCAGTTAAGTAAGACCCGAAATCCCATCAGAAGCACATCACAATTTCCATCACACTTGAACACCTCACCGGCAGGTGGCAGACAAATCCCTGAAACAAACCCGCCAGGATACATCCCCCTTCCACAGCACCACCCTGGAAACTCCGCCAAAAAGGAACTCCAGTAGGGGGATTCAAAACTGAATGCAACAGTTACAACCTCCTCTTTCAAATACATAAATACAGTCCAACATCTTCTAAATAAAAATATCCACAAATCATGTCACATGAAATGTAAGTGACAAGAAATAAAATACAGAAAAAAAACCCCACCCAAACCAAAATCTGCGAAAATTTCCAGCCCCTTTTTAAGAAACATAAAGGAGTCATGGATGGGGTAACAAAGATCCAAACACACCTTATTAATTTCATGGTTTCATGTAACACTTTTATACACCTGTGGACAGAACTCAGAAATCATCTCATCGGTGGTTAAAAAGCCACTACACTGAATGGATGATTCTGCTTAGATACTGGACTGAAAAAAGCCATCAAATATAAAGCTGAAAAGTTCAATCATGCCAAAAAATATTAGCTAAATACAGCCAGAGTCACAGCTGTCTCAGTGATACATTTACATAATAAATTATTTAAAGTAATGCAAATTAGCATTTTTAGTTAAGTTTCTTATTCACTGAAGATAGAAGTGCAATAGCTTAACATTTTCCTTCTGAAGAAACGACAGGATGAAAAGTCAAAAGATAACAACTATTCCACTTCAGAAACTGGTATTATATCTCCCAGAAATTGAAAAGCTGTAACACACAGTGCCTAAACCAGGCAGATTGCTTGTGCTGGATGTAAAGGTAGTTTACATGATATATTCCAGGCATCAGAGGTAATTTGGGAGCTTGAAGATGGGAGGTAGTTAAGTACAAAGTTGAAATTACTCCACTAGAAGATGTTTTTAAACATTAAAATTGAGACAAATTATCATTTGACCAGGGATTAGAGTGGAATTTACATGCTTATATATTCAACTTAATTTAAAAAAAAAAATTAGATGCAATTATATAGAAGGTAAACTTGCCATCAGTATTACACACAGAGCTGTTTTGTTAAGACTCTGTACTCTTGAGTCAGGTCTTACATCTTCCCTATTACACATTCTGGATAGATTTTACCTGTAGTGAGACTCCTTTGGTAACAGTAATTAAGATGTGACTTCACCTGAGTTCACATGCAGGAACACGTACACCAAGGGTTTTAAGAAAATTAATTCCAAGTGTAAGCACTTAAAAGACACACCAGCAGCTTCAGAATGTTGAGAAGTCAACACACTATCAAAACCCTGGTATCTCAAATAATTTATTGAAAAAACAGACTACATTCTTCAAGTCAGTTATTATTGCTGCCACTAGTTACAAAACTGGAATTTTGCAACAGAAAATTTGCTACTGTCATTCAAGAGCAAAATACTAGAAAATAAGAAAGAAGGAAAACCCAAAAGTAACACCAACCCCTCCTCGCTGACCATCCACGTGTATGGAGCGAATGTGATCCGCCAAATCCGGGCTGGAGCTGAAGCAGGCGTGGCAGTGATCCCAACAACAGTTATAGGCAATGCTTTTGGCAGAGGAGGCAGGAACTCCCTGTCCATTCATCATGACTGGCGTGGAACGCCCACTGGAAATTGTGCTGTCTACGTCCATGATAGTGCTGCTTATGCTGCAAGACAAAAAACAAACCCAAAACTAAATCAAAGTTTGTATTTGTTGCATGTTAACAGAGCAAATCAAAACTGTAGCTCTTTTCTTTCAGGTATATTTAGACAGGTTAAAAGGAAAACCTTGCACAAATTTCATTATTGTGGTTAATCACATTATTAATAAATGTAGAGTTAGGAAACAGGTACTATTACCCAACAGTGTAACTTCTTCTGGGCACTGGGAACAAAAGGGAGCAATGGAAAATCCTCAGTATATTGAGCCCAGTATCCCCTGCCAACACTAGAACATTAAAAATAACACAGCACTTCAGTTCTACTACATAGGGTTTAAGGTGCTACCAACATAGCCCCAGCACAATGTCTTGGTCTAAAACTAATGCTGTTTGTTCTGGTTTTGCAATGTTTCCAGAGAAGCCAGAATCAGAAGAGGAAATCTGTGGCCAGCAGGGGTCACCTTCATCAGCCTTTCTGTTCTGTACCTTGGCTTACATACAAATACAGAAACAAGCATCAAATGGATCAGAAAAAAACTTGCAAAGAGTTTGCTTATATATAGAAAGAGCATAAAGTATGGAGATGGATGTTCTTCCTTATTAAATAGCTACTTATATACCTCTTTTATCTTGTTAACCTGCTCAGTTGCCATGAGGGCCTTTAAGATTTTTCTTCCACAAAGCCACAGCATTACAGAACAGCTCATCTTTGACAGAACCTCAAAGACCAGATGGTCAAATTTTCTCCAAGAGAAATGAGATCAGACTGCCTGTGGTCTTGTCCAGTGGAGTTGTTAATGGGTGCGTTCAAAGGCTGGGATTTCTCCTACCTTTCTGAACAATTTTCTCAATGGCTGACTAATCTTGTTGTGGGGGAGGGGGGGAAGTTTCCCAACATCTCATCAGAATTTCCAGTGCTGCAACTTCTGTCTCCTCTCTCATCCTTGGCAGCTGCAGAGTTGAGATGACTCTCTGCCTCCTCCATTGTTAAACCTCCCTATTAGATCACTAAACACAGAAAAACCCTGCCCTCCTCCTCCCAGAACAGAAGGAACACACACACACTCAGCCTCTCCAAACTGGATTTGCTTCAGCACCCTAACCACCTTGGAGAGCCTCCAACAGGTCCTCTCCAGTATGTGTATAACTGGGATATGTTAAACCATTCTGCTTTTAAGGTACAGGTGCTGTTGTTATTATTATCCTTATTTTTACCATCACTGTTTACATGCCCAGTATTGTTCTATTATAACACACCGAGATGAATGAAAGAACAAACAACATTAGTCAAAATCTGAGGACACCATTAGCACGTTTGCTCTTCTGCTCTGAGAATCTCTACTAGTGATTTCTCACATTATCTGTATCTTTTTGAATCATTACTGTGGTAGCAGGTTTTTTTGTGATAGGTTTTGAAATAATCAGATATTTGCTTTGTTTAGATTTCCCATTCTCATCCACCACATAGATTCCACTGTATTTATTAATAAAAAGTGACTTGCCTTAGTCTAAATAACAGATTCCCTTTAGCAATGCTCCCAGTTATAAGCTTTAGTTTTAACTACCCTGAGTAATTTGGTTTCATGAACAAACTCTTATCTCAAGAGATACCACCAATATAACATATCCCAACTACAGAACCCTTAAAAATCATCTTCCAACTCATTTGCCTCCATCTGTGATTAAAACTCACCAAGTCTTTTTAGGCCTTTGTCTTCCAAGTTAATAAGAAAGTTTCAGATACCTTTTCCACACCTTTTTGCATTAATGAAGGTATACCAAATACATAGTTCCTAAATGCTACATAAACACCACATGCCTTTCTCCCACCCCCCTCCCCATTTCAAACAAGGTCTAACAATTCAGAAGGCATAGTTCCTATCCATGGAAGTCATACAGGCTATTTGCTGCTACACAGCAGATTTCCATGTATCCATTATTTTTATTTCCTTCCCTTTTCTACACCCTGAATACACAGAGCTTTCCATGGTCCCTCCCCAATAATCTTGACTCCTTTTATGACATACAACCTCTCAATCTGTCACTAGCAAGTCAAAAAATATTCCACTGGCCCTGAGCTGAAGCTCCCAGCCCCAACAGCATTAACAGCCACTAACTACACACACTGTAACAGCATTTTAGGATTCCAGTAGGAAATTGTCAGAAGCTTTATCTGCAAAAGTTGTTTATTATCTGTTGCAAGTAATCCTATTTTTTCCACTGTGCCAGGCTCACAATAGATGCAATTATGGGACTGACATCTCCTTTCTGAACTGATGCCTACACCAAAAATTATCGCCAAAAATAAAGTCTGCAAAACTACATTGTGAAAGCAAAATTCACCCATGATGATAGAAAAATTGAATATTTAACTACAGTTAATTGCACCACCACCCCACCTCCCCCTCAGTTTAAGTTACCCAAATACAGCTTTCTCAAAATCACACTTGGAAGTAGGTTTGGACACACAGAATGGCACAAAGCCCAACCACTTCTGCCACAGACAGTGCTGTTACACGGATCAGTGGTCCTGACAGGAAGCTGCTTAGCCAAGGGTGGCAAAGCACTGCACACAGAACACTCGTGCAACAGCTGCCTCACACCAGCTCAGCTCAATAAATAACCCTGCCTTTCCCACAGCTGAAAAGGACTAAAGGAAACTGCTTCCCAAATACTTTCAAGGAGGAGTTCAAAGCTATTTGCAGTCAGTACAAGTTTCTACACACACAGCACTAGATCCATTCTCATACACAAACAGTACAAGCAGACTTCTGACTGAGAGGATGTGTGGTGCTGGTGACACAGGACAGAGTGTGAGGGGCATTCAACGCAGCCCCCTGGCTTTACAGTCTGGTCCTAAGTGGGAAAGCAGTGAGAAAACGTAATCCTGAACAAGCTCTGTGAAAGCATTATGGGGCAGGAGAGAAGTGCACCCTCACACAGAGGTGTGTGTGTGTGTGGCTTCTCTGTTCCACAGGCATGAAATCTGCATAATTCCTCTAAGAAGAGAGATAAAAAAAACCTATAAAATCATCAACCCAAAGCATGACAGTTTAGTTCACATTGCCAGAGCAGTGCAATATAGCTTCACACAAAATCCCAGGTCTCTAATTTTACAGCCTAAGGAATGCAAATGCTTAGACTAGACTTCGTGGGTTTTTTATAAGCTACCCTACCTTCCTCTGGAGAAAAATATGTGAAAGTCAACTGATCCCAGCAAAAGCTATCGTGACAAGTAGGGTTATTAATGACATAAGAAACCAGTAACAAGCTAATTTAGCTACTATTATTTAAATGTTTGCTGGGTTCAGGTTTAATAGCCTAAGTGTTTGCTAAGGGCTAACAGATTAACACGGTATCAAAATTTTGTATCAGAGGAACTGGAATAAAAAAAGACTGCCCATAGCACTTAAACCAAGCAGTAGCATATGGAATTTGGAAATGGAGAATGAAGTGCTACTTGGACTTGGACATACTGGACTATGAGTCTATAAGCTACTCAAAATCCTGTCTAAAAATGGGAAAAAACATAGCTCAAATGCAGTTGAGCAGTAACAGCTCAATAATTAAGACAAAATGCCCTCCTTCCTTCTAGTTTGTAGAACTCTGAGTACGACATTAAAGAGCACAGACAAATATTGCTGTAACAGAACCAACTAGAGAAATAACTCAATTGTCTATAAAACAAAATGACCAGGAGTTACACAACCAGAGATCACTAGGTTTGGATGGACTTCCTTGATAGATTCTTGGTAGACTCTAAGGCAAAAAACTCACTGCCCTGGCACATTCCTTCTCTAGTAACAATCTAGTAAATAAAAATGCAACATACATATTTTGTTTCCTCTTCTGTGCCTCCAGAACCAACGTATTTCAGGTGATCAGGTGCCTCCCAGTACTAAGAAATCTAGAATTAGTCTCTGTCTCACTTAGCAAGTCCCTCACTAAAGAAGTAAAGGCTGAAAAGAGAATCTGTGAAAGACCAGTTTCCAGTACAGCTCGAGTGTGTGGAGTTTTTTCTTGTCCTTCATACACTGAGGAAATATCAGGAAGCTTTTCAGAGAATACTCTGCAGTGTATGTAACATCAAAGACACTGACTTGGGCGGTCTCTTGACCTGCCCATTTTGAGATGAAGCAGAAAGATAAGTTTTACAGTCAGAGTTGTGGCTGCTACTAAGTCTGTGAAGACTTAACTGCAACACTGGCTGTTAGAGCTGCCAATTCACCCACTTTTTTGTTTCTCAGAATTTCAGAAAGGGTGTGAGGACAGGACACACAAGCAAATAACATGTGCACAAACACTCAGCCCAAGATGGGCTTGACTACAGAAAAAGTGTGTTTCTCTTCACTCTATGAATGGGGCTTTTCAATCCAATATGATTTTCTATCTGCTTGGGATGATCTGACAGAAGGAAAGGTTCCTTAACAAAGGGAAGGTAGTGACGGACATTACATCTGTCTGCTTTCTCACCCCAAATCCATAAAACCTTCAAGTAGGAAAATAATTATGTCCATAAGAGAGGAAAACAAAGTAAGCAAAACACAGACATCCTGGTAATAGAACAGAGACACCGAAACAGATTTTTAGCTAGCTAAGTTAAAGCAAGTTTTTCTGCCTTTTGCTAAGTCCCTTTCTCGCAGGCAGGAGATCTGTTTAAAGCCTGCCTGCCACAATCAAAGCAGAATGACACAAGCAGAACTGAAGCGCTTGTGGCATTCCCCTCTTGCCAGTGACAGACAGGTCTGGGTTTGCTCCCAAGCTGTAGGCAGGCTCCAGCTCCATTGTAATGGATCTATAGACCATGGCCTGATGAAGAACATTAGACATTTGAGTTTCAGAGAGTTCAGCACAGGGGTCATCCCAAACAATAGAGCATCAAAAACAGTCACTGCTGGAGAGAGCCTGCATACACAATGGCAGTTTTTAAGAAGCACCATTCAAAAGACTGACTAATTACTAAAATTTAGAACTGTTACAGCAAGCACAACATGATCTTCAAG